GTATCCTTAGTCTTAGATAGGATAGATCTTCGACGCGGAAATTCGGTGGTAGTGTGACTAGCATAGTGGTATTAAAAGATCTGATTGATATCATCGTTCAAAGGGAAACTATAATCCTTTTCTTAATTGGATAACTTTAGCAATGATGTGTTCTTGTGCCTAGGAGGGCATATATATATTCCGGCAGCCTTTTTGACCCGGCCACATTGTAACGGGTTGTATTACATACACGCTTGACCGCTGAATAAAATCGCCGGAATGATAAAAGATGGCGTAACGTTAATGTAGACGGATACACCAGGAGAACTAGTTTACCGAGGTATCCAGTGCTCCTTTAGCAACCTTCCAAAATTGTATGTGTTTGAAAATCAACAATATAGTTCTATTAAGTAAAGGAAAAGGACACCAGTTCTTTTTAAGTCTTTTTACTGAGCAATTTAACGATTGAACGAAACTGATCACAGGCCTTGCAGATTGAGGACTGAGTTAAATGCTACCGAGCCTGAACTATCGTCCGAGCCACCTCAGGGACATTTATTTAGCTTCTTTTTACCCTTTAAATCCTTCTTCATCAAAGCGTTGAACTATTTGTATGTGAACATCTGAAGTTCCTCGTCTACTTAGTTTACCTAAGACGTACACAAATGGGGCTATGGGAAAGACAAAAGCTCAGCATACCCCTTGAGTATCTGGGGTTTAACACACCAAATAAAATTGAAATACGGAAGCTCAGGCGTGTCCTCATCGATGTGAAGTTTGGTCAGCGGTTAGGGCAGGCTATATTCTTTGAGAGACCTCGTTAGTTGCGTTTGCAAGATCATGGTCATTAAGATTTTCAATTCCTTCAATATGGATGTGACTAGAGGCGCTCTCCAAGTTTGATTTAAAACCGCACTATAGCAATGGTCGAAGGAACAAGAAGCTTTCTGTCGTTTGAGAATGAGTAATTTAAGGCGATCGTTCATCCACGGGGCCCCAGATGAGTTAACGCGAACTCTCCTGATGAGCATTAGTAGGTCAAGCCCTGTGTGTAGCACATTGTTTAATAACAATTTTGAAAAGAGTTTGCAGAGGAGAATAACATTGTTCCGTGAAATGCACTCAGGTATCTACCAAACTCAACTCTCCTACTTTCCCGCTTGTCACCCTTGAACACAAACCTAGATTGATGACGACAGCTGTCTCTCACTTTGACCTCCACAATAATGGTGTTATGGTCAGTCAGGCAAAAGGGTGGGAAGCCCTGTGGACTATCGTAAAGGCGGTGCAGGTTAGCGAAGATACGGTCTGCGCTCTTTCTGGTTGGAATTTTTCACCATTCGTTTGAGCCGGAAGTGCCTTGCGATTGGTTTCGTATCGAGACGATTAAAGTCTCCTGCCATAATAAGAGTACGATCGGGAAGTGTGACTCGACAAGTTGCAGTGACTGGAACATGTGTTTTTGCATAAACTCGTTCTCAGCGGCGGACTGATGTGGATAATATACGACAGCTACTAATAGGGAAGAAAACACCAGCGCCAGGCGTTTAGAGCGTAGCTGAACCCATAATACCTCGTGATCGGGGCAGCGCGAAAGATCACCCAGTCGTTTATATCGAATTGCTGCATTGATGTAGAGCCAAACACCACCATGATGATCAGACGAGAGGTAGGACTGAGTAATTACAAAGGTTTTGAAGACTTCATTGCAAAGACCCTTTGAAAGCACCTGCCTTCAAATTAACTGTGTAGCATATAAATGATATGGGAAAATGTGGTGGTTCCAAACAATGAGAAAGTAGCAGTCATTTGCCCTACATTGAGGAGTGACATTGGATAAATACCAAAGGCAAGATATTAGCGGTCCAAGATCTAGACTTTGATGTAAGATATCTGACAGGAGATAAGAAGATGGTTGTAATTAACATTTCAAGAGACTAGGCAGAGTCCTTTTCAAAGAGCTATGGCGATGGAAAAATGTATGGAAGGGCTATAGCTCAACATTGACCTCTCGAACAGTTCAGTGTACAGTTCAGAAAAACTACACAGCTATACCGAGCAGGTTAACTTGGAACTTAAACAGTACATGAATGCAGAGGATCTCTTCAATCGTGGATGGGTACGAAAGTCATGATCAGCTGACTCAGCGCTTGCAGTAAGCGTGCGGTGTACGGACTTTCGTTAGTTGAAGGAGGAAGTCCAAGCCCAAGCTCGTTCTCACTCCCTCGTATCCAGACAACTATTCACAATCTTGGGGAAAATAAGTTTGATAGATTATGGAATCAGGATATTAAGACCTGCTAAGAAAAAGTATCACCTTTACTCAGGAATCTAAGAACAGCTTAGTAATTACTTGTACTACGCACCGTTCTTTACTAAGAACGTTGTACTACAATGACAAAGTAGTTGTTATAACAACCTTGAAATCAAAGTCATGGTTCTCTTCCGGTCAACCTTGATTTTAAAATTCGCTTCTGGCTCAGTTTTGAGACAACCTTGATATTAAAGGTAACTCACAGAGCTAACCTTGGTTTCAAAGTACAGCATAAAGCCATTTTGAAATCTTACATGTTCACTGTGCGAGATTCAAAATCATTCATTTGCCTCATTACGCCTGAGATTCACAACATCACCTGTGAGATTCAAAGTCTTTCCACAAGCAAGTATGCTTCACGGTTTCAAACAACAGGATCGGCATCAAGTCGTGGAAATGGTGTATTTCTCATTGATAGGTCACAGTCTCAAAGCCTTTGTTGAGGATGTTGAGTTGAGCATCTGAAAGGATGAAATGTGATACTTCACATCTCCTGAACGTGATGCTTTACTGGTAATCGCGAGCCGAACTCCTTCTTTCGTATCCGTCAATCTCAGTCTTAAACCATGAAGATTTTAAAATATCAATATTGTATCTTTTCGCTGAGAAGTCGTAGTGTACCTTTATATGTTCATCCGTAAAAATTATGTCTTTATGATTGAGAAGACTTTGACAGTCTGAGTGAAGTCCTTCATGAAGACGATCTCCGACTATTTTTGTGTAATTCTCCCACACGAATTCTGCCTCTATTGCAAGAGTCGTAGAAAAGTTGAATAGCTTCATACCATTGTACCAGAAAGAAGCGCTGACATTTAAATCGTTGTCGATTTCTTTCACCCAATGACAGCCAAAAATTGTCCATCTATCAGGAGCTGTCAGGTTTGTTTTTTAACCAATGTTTATTGTTTTGAAAACAGGCTTTTGTCCTTCAACATGATAATGATTGATCCAAAGATGGTTAGATTTGATTCTCTGTCAATAGAAATCCATCATATTTCATTTGAAATCGAAGAGTATCTCACTTTGATATTTTCCGGTTTCAAGAACCATCTTTTCTTATTCGAAACAACAAAAACAGAGAGACGAAGAGGAAGAGAAGAGGATATTTTCAAAGGGAGATCGAAGACTGTCTTCACTCGGAATGAGAAAAAGTGGCTTCCGTTGTTTGTTGAATATGATTTAAATCGGTCTGTGTGAATTTTTCTGTTTTGCATGGTTGTTCGCTCCTGATTGATCGAAAGCAGTAACACAAAATACATGTTTTTCAAATATTTCACCGTTTGAGTTGTGGTCTGTTCCTTTGATGAATGTCTCAACGAACAGGTTCCAAGAGAAAGATATTTTTCGTCGTGAGCACGGGACAAGAAAAATCTCTGAGTCCCCTCGAGGAGTCGAACGTCAAGACCTTTATATTGCGCGCTCCGATGCTCCACCACTGAGCCGCAGAGACTCCACGGTGAGCAAGGCCCTTTACGAAGTTCATTCATAGTTGGAAGAGACTTATTTTGACAAAAAAGAGTAGAAATCGATTATTTGCTCCGTCTTCATTCTCAGTCAGATTGGCAAGATTTTTTTATCTTTTTATTGTTCATATCATTTTTAGTTTCTTGAATTGATTCACCAGGACTGCTTAGGTTTATCAAGAGACTCATTTTTAACATTTTTTTTTTTTATTTTTCAACGAGCGAATTCCTTCAGGAGGCAGCTTGTTTCAGGCCGCGGAACAATTCTAACGAATCCATGCTTTAGTTTATCTTTCGGGTAATAGATAACAGGTTGGATTTCATTCACAAGTGTTTTCTCAATATTGAAGACCCTGAGAAACCAGTTTGGATCTGTTACTCTTCTAATACCGCCATCCAGATCACAAACGGCAAAGAGATATTTTAAATTTTTTGAAGAGCCGAGTCTCTTCTCATTCCTCAAAAGTTGGTCTCGGGATATACTTCGGGGCAGGCAAATAAATCTCCAAGATGGCTTGCTTAATCAGCCAAAGTTTTGTATCATCTTCAGACACTCCTTATTGAAGTTGGAAAACGGTGGCTCCTCATATCACGCTCTTGATCATGCACCTCGTTGAAAAGCTTCGAAGCATTATCAGTGTCAGTAAAATTAAGGTGGCTCGTACCGGTTTTCATCTTTTTGATGGTTTGTAACTTTGAAAGAATACAACAGAAAGACTGACCAAGGCCAGTTGAACACTTTTACGGGTTGAATTATATAATAATTGGTTATCCAAAAATAGGTGTCATTTCGTCACTAGCAGTTTCCATGGCAACGCTTTAATAGGCGTATTCAGACGCATTTTTTAGCTTGTGGCTTAAATAATTCGAGAACTACCCCGGTGACCCCGTGATTTTTTTCAGTGATTTCTTTTGGCACTTGAAAAGGAAAATGCACAAAGATTTTTAAAAAATTCTACGGAGCGGAATTTCAGAAAATCTAGAAAATAGGCAATTTTCACACATCACAAACTTCCTTCCGTAGAATTTTCTACTTTTTTTTCTGATGATTCCTTTTACACTTCTTATCCTCTTTTCCCTCAAGAATGTTGTAGCTCAGTGTAGCGTTTTCGTTTTCAATCCAACAAACTCCTAGATGATCGTTCCACCAGCTCAATCTTTCATCATGCCTGCAACCTTCTTGGTACAGCCTGTTGAGATCCCTGACACGGGATCTTTCGGGTAGTTGCTTGTGGCGAACTTACATTGTCATCAACACCTTCACCCATATCCTTGTAAAAGTCTTTAGTTTCAATCTCATACGTGAGATTGTCAGTGTCTGTAAATAGAAGCTTTGCACGATCTCCATTCTTCTCTTTGATGTAGTTATAGAGGAAGTCATACATCAGTGTCTTGTTGATATCGAGGATGCTCATTCCACAATAGACTGGATTATCTGATACAAGTTTTGTCTTCTTCAAATGGATTGCAATGAGAATTTCATCAAATATTATGCAGTGCTCAAAATTTGTTTTTGCTGAATGTTTCGTGCTTTCTTACAGTTGTTAACTAATCTTACATCTACTCGATTCCTGACGTTTCCATAGCTTTTCAGCCAGCCGGGCTGAGTTGTTGAACGTGAAGAAATCCTTTTCAATTCTAATTCATTCTTCCTGGCATTTGCATTAATTATTTGGGTTAAGCTAGATGTATTTCTATAGCCAGGGTTCTTCCATGAAGCATATTCCTCTGTGAATCTTATTGATGTCCAGATCAAGGTCTTAATAGTATCAATGCTTCTCTTTCTTTTTGATCATAAACCTCTCAGGAGCATGCGGATAAACTTTATGCGAGTTATGAAGCTCATTCGGAAACTCAAGATCTACCTCGAGGAAACAAGGAATACTTCTCCAGTTGTCAACTTAGTGATATTATCCATGTCGTCGTATTGTACACACTTTTCCAGAAGACCGACTCGATCTTTTCCTTGAACACCCTCTCAGTTGCCATCAGCTTATCAAGACTCAAATTTCTATCCAATTTATCGAGAGAGGAAGCCATGAACTTGAATCTGTTGATAAAGCGAAGGCTATTCTTGAAGTTAACTTCTTTACCGTCTTTGGCGATGGAAGAGCCGACAACGACATCTTTGCATTGAAAGTTTGCCTATCCTCTTGAGTGAAGATCACCTTCTTTGTGAATTCGAATTGCTCATGAATCGTCTTAATGTTCTCTTCGAACAGTTCAACCTGAAAGATCTGAGCAGCATCTTCATCCATACGCTTTGCCCTGTAGATGACTGGCTCTTGGGAATGAAGCTTATTATCGAAGCAGACCACTGGTGGTAGGAACCACATAGTTTATGTTTTTGATATTGATTGGTAAAGCTCCAGAGTGAGAAGCTTCTCGAGGATGTTTATCACCCTCTAACGGGGTGATAATCTTTCTTCGAGTCTCTTGCTTTCTCAAGACCATCAATCTACTTTTGATTTTCTATAATCCTTTCTTTGTGTTTATTCTTTTGTTTCAGGAGCTTCACTCTCATTATCAACAAGCCCCGAATCATTTTGATGCCTACTCTGGGGCCTTAAGTCGCCGTAACTTTGGGCGACTTTGGACGATTTAAGGCGACCTAAGGCGACTTAAGCAAAATTGGGAGAAAAAACAATGCGACTTTAGGCGATTTAAGGCAACTTAAGGCGACTTAAGGCGACTTAAATATATTCTATTTGACTGTAGAGATAAAATCAAAGTTAGCAACAGTCTCTCCATAAACCTTAAAGATATTTACAAAATCCGTTACAATAAACACCATAGTCAATTTGGTTACTTTTGTATGCTCATAGGTCACCATAGTCTAAAATATCCAGATTTCAAACCAATTTAGCTAAAAATAATTAGATAGAATTACTACAACAGTTATTGTTAAATTTAACAGTCAAAGCTAGTGAATAAATAGCCGGGAAACCAATTTAGCTTAAAATGTTTAGAAAGAATTACCACAACAGTTATTGTTAAATTATACAGTCAAAGCTAGTGAATAAATAGCCAGGAAAACAACATCATGGGTTATATGCCTAATATAAAACAAACCTATCAAAAATATACACATAAAGACACACATTTTTAATTTAAGAAAAGAGACATGATTTACATAAAACTATCAATAAATTTTCAACAAGATTAATTAAAAATGACTTGATTATTTAAATATTTCACAAAGCCTCACAAATTATAAAAATTGTTATCTTGGTAAACTTGTCTCCCATATTTTAGTTTTGTCACTTGCACTGTCAATTTTGGCATGAAAGTTTGGCAAGTCGCATGCCTTTCCAACTGCATCCAAAATTGCTCGGTCCTTTTCAGGGACCCAACCAATTTGTTGTTCTCTTGCCTTATAGTTAGACAAAACACTCTAATAACATACTAAGAACCCTATGCTAAGGTCTTCCTCCACTGTTGATTGGATCAGCAGGGCCTTCCAAGCATTCAAGTTTTATTTTTAGCCTGGTGGTAGTATTACAGGTTTAAAAGCATTCATTGTTACCTCACAACTGTCCAGAAACTAGCGAGTCACGACGAACTTCTCCAAGCTGATAACTGGCTCTAAAAGTCTCCGCCATTTTAAATCTCCCAGCAACCTTTGCGCCGCTAAATAGCTTCCATGCTTCGAAGTTAGGAGCGGGACAACACTATAGGGTTTCTCAAGTACGCCCATTTCATTGAAGCGGCCGCCCAGAGTGTATGTTTTTTAAGGTTTTTGATGTTTTTTGCTCAGATAAATTAATTATTTCTCTGTACACTTTTCAGCAGGCTCGCATGCGTGTTGTTCGCACGTGCACTTTGCTCACCGGACAAAACTTAAGTCACGTGATCAAATATTTCTGGCGGCCATGTTTGCCGCAAAAGGTTTTTCTTGGCTTAGAAATGGTTCATATATGTTTATCATCAGACTGACGAAGATGAAATGTACAAAAAGACTATATCAAAGTCTCAAGATAGATAGATATTTACACCTTTAGTAGGTTCGTCGAGCTACAAAGTTCAAATGTTTTCAGTTGGTCGAATACCACGTTGGAAGTAGCTAGTGGGTTTATGCTGGAGAAATGGCCCACCTTTGTCATTCTTTTACTCTGGGTAGGTAAAGTGGATAAAACTCAGCTTCAGTTAAGTTTAGTTGACTTTTGATAATGTTATTTATACTGCTCAAGGAATAAGTGAGTGGCAAAAATCTAGCCTTTCTCCAGAATACCTTTCCATCGTTTTATCTTGATGATTTGGTACTGTAGTTTTTGTGTGATTCAATATTTATTATATCCTGATGCTAATACGCAGTGTCAACCCTTTTATCAACTTTTTCATCATGAGATACAAGACAGAAATTTTGTTGAAACAGATAGCTGTCTTAGTAAGAAAATGGAAGAGTATACATTGTCATATTCCTAAATCGTTATTGTCTATATGTAGGAATTACCCACGCCACCATAGGGGGCTAGACAGGTGCATGACTATTTTCGCATGGAGTTTCTATGTATATGGAAGCCATTGCCCACCTCACAATAACAAGAATTAAACTCATAGTCCATTGCAGGGTTTCCTCCCCCCTGCCAACCAGTACCCATACTTACACCCGGAAAAGGTGAGGCACTTTGAGCTTACAGTATCTTGCTCGAGAACAAAATGCAATGCTCCAACACTAGACACCAAAACGGGACTAATGTCGAGTCCAGTGCACTAACCATTCAGCCACCATGCCTCTTCCTCTGATCCTTATGACTAAAGTGGGGTGAATGGGGTCAATTGGGATTAGGGTGGAACCCTTATAACATTGCGTAACCAATAGTGACTTAACGCAACTTAAGGCGACTTAAGGTGACTTTAGGCGACTTAAGGTCCCAGAGTAGGCCTATTTTGAATGGACTTCTTGTAACGATATCACGCCACAAGGGTGGGCGCCCTCTAACACACACTAAAAACCAAGCACAAACGAGCCCAAGAAGACACGTCACAACACAACTAAACGTACTACAAATATTTATTATTCTAAGTAAGACAACACAGTGACTACCAATAACGACAATACAATAGGCTGAGTTATTTATCCTAATTAATTTATAGGAATACGATAATTCAAACTACAGTAAATTAAAACTATTTGCAAGAGTATTACTATTAAGATATAAAAAAGTAGGTTTTTTTTGTTCAAAGGCTGATAGTTTCTAAAGAAACTGTTTGGGGCTGCGTCGGTGGGGTTAACGAAATAATTTGAATATATCAACAAAGTTGAAATGGTAAATTGGCCACCGTTACGATTATAAAAGCTGACGTTTCGAGCGTTAGCCCTTCGTCGGAGCGAATGACGAAGGGCGAACGCTCGAAACGTCAGCTTTTATAATCGTAACGGTGGCCAATTTACCATTTCAACTTTGTTGATATATTCAAATTATTTTTTTTGTTCAGTTCAGTTCAGTTCGCCCTCGCGTCCCTCTGCTTGCCCTGTCCTTAACCCAACCACGTTTCACAACAAACGACTGATTAACCAAACAAAAGACTGACAAACCAAACTCACGTTTAACCCAGCTAAACGTAGAAGTTTCCAATTTCACGTAATTCGGTCTTCGCCCAGATTTTTCCTTGACTCAGTTGTCTTCACTGGCTTACTATCTCATAGAAGATAATCTCCTTTTCGTTCGTCTGCGCTTTCTTCGGCCAGCTTCTCGGCACACATACGCCCCCCCGGCAAATGAACTCRTT